TCCATTCAAGGAATTATTTTGTGTGAGTGTTTACGTGAGGCAACACAACCACAGAACTACATTTTATAACCTTATTAAAACTGTGACACGCGATTCCCGGCCCTACTTCCAATTTCCTCCGCCAGCAGTGACAGGTGCGACGTGTCAATCAGACCCTACACATAGTGTCTTCAATGTCCAAATTAAACGAGAATCGTGTTGTAAATTTTCACTTGTGTCGCCCTTACTGACCGCAAGATATAGCAAGTTTCGGAATTCTGGTCCGATGCTTCTTGTCTGCCTTTCGAAGCAGCCAGCCTTGAGACTGTACAACTCACTACACGAGTCAACAGTTTCCTTAAAAACATATTAATATACAGGGTGTTAAAACACTTATATACTTTAAAGGGATATAGTACTCAAACAGTCCCAGTCAACATATGTGCAGGGACCAATATCTGCAGAGATTGGCCGATGTTTGTGTGAGCTCTACAACAGATGCTCTGTGTGGTTCCCGCGCATTTCAAAATAATTTTCAGTTCTTCGTGGCACAGAAGTGCGCACTCTGCCGAAAATTCCGGGTTTTACTCGAATCTCTTGAGGGCATTCCTTGCTTGTTGCTGTAATGCCTCTAAATCATTGATCGGCGCTGAATAGACCAAAATCTTTAGGCGTCCCCTCAGCCAGAAATCCAGAGGATTGAAGTCAGGAGATTCTGCAGGCCAGTGATTGGCTTTCGCCCTCCTATCCATTTTTCGCCGACAGTCTGGTTCAGATGCCGTATGAAGATGCAGAAAAATAAATTGATGGTGCGCCATCATACGTGTACATGCACCATATGGACTGACGTTGATGAAGAGACACATGTTCCAAGAATACTGGTAAATCATTCACCAAAAGAAAACGATGCTACACTGCACGTATCTGTTGGTTAGGTACGACAACTGGTCCGAAGATATGACCAATTAAGATGCCCATATCTCAGCAGGTATTGATTTTCGGATATATGTTGATTGGGAATTTTGGGTCATTTAAGTAAGAACTATACCGCCTTAAAGCCCATAACCTTTCTCAACACTCTGTATATAGTGAGAGAAAATAAATTGCACCAAACCCTGCTACATTAAATTTAAGGTAGTCTGTCTTAGGCCGCGCCACAGCTCAAGCGGTTAGTCTCTGGCTTCCCACCGCGGCGGCCCGGGTTCGATCCCGGGTCTGGTCAAGTGGGATTTGTGGTGGACAGAGTGGCGCTGGGGCGGGGTTTCTCCGAGTACTTATGTTTCCCCTGCCAATCTTCATTCCACCAAATTCTCTATCATCATAATCACCAGGGGCAGGCTACAATAGGCCAATCAGTGGCCGCCGTGCCGAGTGGACCCAGTTGGACTCCATCCCTCACAAAGCAAATTACAAAAAAAAAATAAAATTAGTCTGTTTTAAACCACATTTTTATTTGAACCCTTGGAATGAGGATCAGCTAACTGACTTATTCCTATATCAGTTATTTGAATAAATCTGCGAAATTTTAGCAAGTATGGGAGACTGTGCCCATCACGTTTCATGTCCGAAAATATTGTACACATTTCATCCAAAGGTACGGTCTTCTAGAATATAATGCTTTGTGAAGGAAATCCACCGACGTTTTGGACCAATGTATTGCCTCATCTTGCTCCTTGCTAAGCTTGAGGAAGTATATTCCTCCGAAACGTCGGTGAAGTTCTATTTGAATACACAGCATCACATCCCAGAAGATACGTAGTAACTTTCACATTCATCTCTGTGAGAACCTCAAAACCAGCACAGATTTTGACCAAATTTAGAACTAGTGAGAAGACGGGTCTGCACCACAAATTGTTGAGCTAACAACATTTTATTTTTTCAACCAAATACCACCCTTATTTACATGAAAATGGAGTGAAACTTGAGATTCTCTTAAGAGGAAAAGTTCCAATGTGAAAACAACTTGTGCATGAAAGGTAAAGCTATCCCTGTAACAGCAGTGGACGACAATAGAATCGTGTGACGTCGAGGCTTCCACATTTTCTAGGCAATCGGCTAACAGATGGCGGTGAGATCGTCAGCCTTACGCACCAGCCGCCCTTTATCCCCAAGAAGATTCCTGGTAGTCATTTCTGTTAGAGACTGAGTCGACCCCAGAGCCATAGTGGGGCTGGAAGGATTAGGTCAATTGAAAAATCCAGTGACCTCGCTGGGAAACAAACCCGCGATCTTCCGACTTGTGTAGTGCCTCAACCAACTACTCTACCGCGTGCCACGAACAAGTTTTGCATTGTAGTCTAAATGTAGTACTGAACACACTATGGCAATAGGCAGGTATAGAGAGTGGGCAAACAGACAATTAACGTAAAACATTATCTCGTATTAAGGGGAATATTCCGATCTGAACCTGCCAGAATATTTGTAGAACGGTATCGCATCGTTCTGAGTTGTACAGTGAACATGGTGATCCTCATTTCGACCATTTTTTTAAATTTATTAAGTAAGAAAGAATATTCATTTTACTTACAAGTTGACTGTCCTTTGGGTCACGCTATATACCTAAGCGGCTTAAACGTTAAGTTTGTAAGAACACTTTCTGCTCCTCCTCGCCTTTTGAAATAATCTTGGCTGTTGCCCATGCCTCCGCTCAGTTTGATTAATGTTTCTAGGTACTTTCAGGGTCATTATATTCGTCATCTTCTTCATGGAAAGATACCGTATTTATCACTATATGAAGTTGTTGTTCATTCAATATCAAATGCCGATTTAAAAACAGAATAAACAGAGAGATCTTAAGAATAGCTGACCTTGAATCTGGTGCGCATTGATGGGATTTTAACGTGCGTTATTTTTTAAAATGTGATGCTGTTAGGTTATGTCGCCGAACTCCGCGCATGCTCCGATGCACCAGTATCTATTAAAACACGCCCGCAGCTTATACAAAAAAGATTCTGCTGAACACTTTGGGTACATAAATAACGTTCTTCTGATACAAAGAACGGCCTACATTTCTGAAGTTACAAACTGAAATAAACTGTTGAAATTTGCAACAGAAATTTAGTCCTTATGAATGTCTAAGAAAGATTACATGGACTTTTCAGTTAATATAACGTCAGGACGCCATTTGCATGTAGAATGTAACAGCCATATATCTTGCAGAATGGCATTATTTAACTACAGTGTAGAGAACATACCAGATGTGGCCAAACTGTGGTTCACGAGCCACATGGAACTCCATTGAACCGTTAATGGCATTTGAGGAAGAAAATTTTAGTCACACTCATTTTTACGAATATATTTAATATAGAATAATCCTCTCTATGGAGAGCATGCGCCAAACGCCTGTGCCCCCAAATTCTTGTCTGTTTGCCACAAGAGAATTTATTAAAATTACAACAGTGATAGCTCATTCGGTATAGTGACGGGCTACGGGCTGGGGTTCGATTCCCGGCAGGTACTAAAGATATTTATCTGGTCCAGAGGGCCCATACCAGCTCTGGGGTCCACTCAGCCTCCTATCCCTGGGGGTAAGGCGGCAGTGGCGTGATCTCACCTCCATCTAGTGCCGAGGTCAAGAAGGGTGTAAGCTATACCTCCACTCCCTCATGTCTTCAGGGCATAATAAGTGACTAAGCACAAGGGAAAATTTATCTTTCTTTTTGCCTTATTACATGCGGCTCTGATTTTCGGCAAATTTAGACACCTTTAATATGTACCCATACGAGGGGAAATATCTTTCTTTTCGCTTCTTTGGTTGGTTTGCTATATAAACTGTAAGAGAAATTATATTATGAAACAATAGGTGAGACGACACAACACTAACACTGGTCTATTCTAGTCACCACAGCATCTAGAACCGAAACAGATAGAAGAAAAATACACATTGGTGCCAAGGACAACATACAGCAACAAATAGGAACACAACAGAGAGGAACATAGGCAGGAAAACGCGTGCTACATCTATGTAAGATTTTCTTAAGAAGAATCAGACTCAGTTAAGTGCAATCAAATATTAACTTACTGCAGTATAATACATATGAAATATAGACCAAATAGTGCCCAACCAATAGTCAATGAAGTGTTACATTTACAATATTACTGCATATACAAAGTGTCCCAGGAGGAAATGTCAGTATTCTGGGAGGTCATAGTATCGGTCATTCTAAGCAAAATATATATATATATATATACATATGTCCTATTCCGAAAGGTTTCCGAGATACAGCTATTTCACTGTACAGTTCCAAATTTGTTGATAACAAAGAGATATTACGCACTGTTTCTAATACCGGTATTTATTGTTACAAGTGATAAAGTTGGTACAGTTTACCTAGTATAATACATTTTCGAAAATTCCACCGTCAACATCAATGAACTTTGCAACACGTGTGAGGACATGGCGTGTTGCTAGTCTGTACAGTGTACCGTGTACTGTACAGTGAAATAGCTCTATCTCGGAAATCGTAAATAACATATATACATACGTGTATACACTTTCTTTGCTTAGATTGACCAATCCTATAACCTCCCAGAATACTGACCTTTCCTCCTGGGACACCCTGTATTTATCAAGTCTTTTGTTGCGTAAATTTACTTTCTCGCGGTGCTGCGCCCCCTCCAGGGCTAATGGCCTAAATAGAAGAATAAAATTATTGCTAGTAGTTACTATAGGATTCTGATGGTGTATAACACACAGATATATTGGGTTTTCGGGCTTTATCCATCGTCCTGGCNTTAAGATAACTAAGAAAAACACGACGTTTCGGAAGCTGAATCTGTTTCCGTCCTCAGGTGAGGGAAAACACCTATTCTGTTGGGTCCCTTAGTCACTGGGTCTTTCTAAGGGACCCAACAGAATAGGTGTTTTCCCTCACCTGAGGACGGAAACAGATTCAGCTTCCGAAACGTCGTGTTTTTCTTAGTTATCTTAAAACCAGGACGATGGATAAAGTCCGAAAACCCAATACCTCTGAAAATTATTGCTGTTATGGTGATGTTCTTCTGTTTTCTATTTCGAACAGGAAGCATGGACCCGTCCTCGACTTCGACACAGCCACAGAAAGCTACGGTGCTCCAAATGTCCGCCAGGTTGGGGTGTGCTGCAGATGTGCACAGATAAAACGGACACGGAGTGCGGTCCCTGTGACACAGGTTCATATTCGCCGCACCACTCGTACCACACACCTTGCTGGGTCTGTTCGCGATGTGGCCCCGGGCTCTTTGAGGCCCATCCTTGTCACCCCTCTGCTGACACAGTTTGTGATGACTGTTTCCGTAGTGGAGTCTCTCACAACAAGGACTTCATATTCAAGTGCCGTCAGAATGCGACGGAAGGACGCATTGTTCATGGTAAAGTGAGACGGAGACATGATGAAACAGAAACCGTCACGGCATTGGAATCAACAAATAATCTGTAGTGAACAGTGACAGAAATCTGTAGGATGTGTGGAGTGTGGGCTAGCATTAAACATGCCAGGATTTTTTTTTTCAGGGGACAGCCAATTTTCCGACGGAGGCTGCTAAAATATTTCCTTGTGAGGCCCTAACATTAGCGATGCCAGGACTTCTTCCAAAAGGGGCAGTCAGTTTTCTAAGCAGATAGAAAATTTATGTCTAAGCTTATATTTAAAAAAGTTAAAATTAATTTTACACATAGCCCTAGGGAATTCAGAACAGAAAATATTTTAATTATTACAATTTTTGTTATTAATATGCGGTAGATTTCCTTCGTTTTTAATATTTTTTTTTTTCCAAATATCGAGGGAGGGGGAGAAACCTGGCTTGCCAATACCCCCGAACCTCTGACGGGGCCCATGTGGCCTAGTACATTGAACCTGGATCTTTTCTATCTTGGGGTCCCACAGGTAACTTTGTAAGAAATGCATGTTCCCCTATAGCAACAATGTTTATCTTTTTCGGGAAGTTTATTTTTATAATTGTCTACATTTAGTATCATATCAGTCACTAATGGAATCTCATGAGGGCGTACATTTGCTAACCATTTTTAATAATGTGTTTTATTACTATGATTGCAAAAAGAGACAAAGTTGTCCCTATGCTTAACTCATTAAGCACTACGCCATGAAGACGTACGGGGGAGTGGATGTATAGATCCACGTTTCCTTGACCTCTGCACTAGATGGAGGTCAGTGGTCAGCTTCACGCTCCTACCGCTTTATCCCCGAGGAAAAAGGCCCAGGTAACCAGGATGCTGGGTGGGCCTCAGAGCCAGTCTGGACAACGTGAAGAACACAAAACTTTTGACCCTACCGGGACTCGAACTCCGAACCCTCGGTCACGTCCGTAGCCAGCTGCCATACCGACTGCGCTATCGCGGCTCACTTTACAATGATTGAACACAGATTAATTCATTCGCTCATTCATTCATTCATCACTGGTTCTACAGCCCTTTGTTGGGCCCTGGCCTCTTCTTCAACTTTGTAATCTTTTTTACACAGACGGTAGGACTCCTTGGACGGGGGATAAGCCTGTCGCAAGGCCGCTACCTACACAGGACAACATAAACACAGAGAAACACACACACAGACATCCATGCTTTGAGTGGGATTCGAACACACCATCCCAGCGTTAAGCGAGCGAAGACAGTATATGCTTCAGACGGCGCGGCTACTGTGATCGGCATACAGATTAATATATACGTTAATTCTGTTAATGAGTTGTTAGACCATGTGGTTGTGGACGATGTGCCGGCGTTCCGAAGGCACATGTCGCGTCCCTGCTCCCTTAAGAGGGTCATCTACACCGCATTCCCAGCCCATTGTTCCTACTGGCTTAAATGAGGTACTAACGCTCAATACACTTCCCTCCCAAGTCCCTTTAGAAGATCAGAATGCTGCACACACACAGCAACTCACAAACCTACATAATTCGGCCCTAAATATGAAGGGTGTGCCCCCCGAAACGTCGACATCTCCCATAACCACACGGTGTAACAACCCAACTCCAGAATTAATATCGAAAATTAACAGCTCTGAAAGCCTAAAATCAGTGCAGGAACATAGTTCTATTACCAGAAATGCAGCCGCGACGCGGTATTAACGATATGCCTCCGCTTACAATGCACAAAAATTCTTGTGTGATTGAATCAATTATTATTTTCCTAGAGCTCGCGACCCATCCGTCGGACACGTTGCACCGGTTGAGAAACATTTACCTAATATCCATAACAACCAGAAGATCCCTCTAGTGCTACTTGCATTTCGTTGTTACTTTCTGTGTTATTCCCATAGAGAGCAGTGAACTTAAGAACAAACTCTTATTTGTCGCTCAATTCCATCTTAAGTTCAATTTCTAATTTCTTGATTGTGACTGCTTTTCTTTTGGACTTCGTCCGTTGTCCTAGTTTTTAGCCTACTTTCCTTATTAAAAAATAAAGGAAGTCTGTGAAATAACCTTGTTATCTGTCTGTACACCCCAGCCTCTTATCGTTGTAAATTTAAACCATAAATTTCCGAAACTGGTCTCTATTTCTGATATCAGCCGAACAGAAACCTATTCCGTGCACAGGACTGGAGATTCTAACAGCGGTGATTATGAAGAATTCTATCTTCCGGTACATAACGCAGTGCATTCCGTTTCGAAAATCAGCAAATATTTCGACTCTATTTCGTGGGGTGAACAGTAAGCCAAGCACGAAACCATTATCAAGCAGTCAGCAAGCAAAGCCTTCACTTTTAAGAGAATACACAGCGTTATAACAGAAGACAGAAGTCTTGGTTCTGTTCGATTTGTGGTTCTCACAATGGTGACTATGAATAGTACTAATGTTATATTTTAGCGTCCTGTTGCACTGATTTAAGTCCATGATTTATTTCAACCGTCTTCCAGTGCATACACTCATCTATCTCACTCCTCTCTCTCGCACTACATGTTTCGGAACAAAAGTGCCATCTTCAGGTGTTTATTCGATTTACATACCCAGCAGGCCCAGCAGTATAACACACGCAGTCACAGGAGCAAGACAACACAAAGCACAATACACACACGAAAGTAGAAAGAGTGCTCCGACAGAAGAAGATAGGTGTGACTCGCGTAGTGAGATACGACATAGGGATGAAAAATCCTGAACAATTTTAATATTTTTAACATTTAATATTTATCAATATATATGATAAATATATATTTTAGTTATTTTAATATGAAGACGGCAAGGCATGCAGTGAACTAGTTTAACGTAAATCGAATAAGCACCTGAAGATGGCACTTTTGTGCCGAAACATGTAGTGCGAGAGAGAGGAGTGAGATAGATGAGTGTATGCACTGGAAGACGGTTGAAATAAATCATGAATAGTACTGTCTAATTGGATATTACGTCATGTAATCTGGTAGAAGATCACATACTGCATCCATCTTCACGGTCAAAGTTACACTATTAGCATCTTCTTTCTAGGTCGATTGGCTTATTTTTCGTTCCTGAAGATACTTCCCCCAAGAATGTCGGTTAGATTCCGCCATCTGGCTCTATCCTGAACTACAATAATCCAGTTCACGTCCTCAAAACTTAGGGCTTTGTTATCCATTTTACTGTTGTTCTATCTTCTAAGCAAAGTTCAACTCAGATGTTCCCCATTTTTGTAAGAATTCCTCATCTACTGCAGATGTTTCACATGTCCTGATATCCTTCATACGGTGAAGATTACAAATTATGGAACTTCTCATTATGCACGCTTATTTTTCTCCTTCATCCTATTCCAATTATTTCTTCTCTTCAACGATCTATTCTCAAACGCATTAAGTCTGTGCCTACAATACTCGTATTTCTGAATGTGCCTCACCACAGCAATGATGTAAATTATCAGGAATTTACTACATTATATTATAAAAATACAGTGGGAATCAGAACCGCCATATTGGGGATTTCCTTGAATACGAGTACATGATTTTTTTCACATAAGTTTGTTTAAAATATGACGCACCATCAAAGATGTAAGATTTGAGGTTTTCACGGCGGTGACTATGAAGAAAGCAGTCTTCTGGGATGTGGCACCGTGTAGATGTGGTGTTAACCAACGTTTCGGAGGAATGTATCGCCTCCATCTTCAGGGTAGAAGGGAAAATAAGAAATCCGCAAGCGAAGAGGCCGTGAGAACCGGTACAAGCAGTCTGCTTGTCCTCTGAAACGTCGGTTAACACCACATCTACACGGTGCCACATCCAAGAAGACTGCTTTCTTCACCCTCAAAGATGTTTTAGATAGAAAATAAAACTACGCATCTGTAATATTGAAGCATTCCACCCATTAATTTTCTCTCATATATTTTAATGCACAGAACAATTAAATAGAGAAAGCTGTTTATCAGGAATAAACGCTTCGCGGTTTGGCAAGATTATCTGTATATAAAAGCGAGACTTAGTGCTCGATATTTCTCATATTATGCAATGTAGAGGCATTATTTCGAGTGTTACGGTTACAACTGTCATAGTACCAACAGTATAGCAGTAAGGCCTACGCTACATCCAATAGCTGCTTGTCATGTATTTTAGTGTCCATATTCTGCTTTGTGCAATTTGCATCCAAATTTGCTGGGAATCACTGTCAAAATAAAAAAGCAATCCAGTATCGTGTGAATAGTTTAGCAAACAGTTAAACAACGCATTTTACAACAGTTACTGTTATTGTGTGTCTAAACGACCGCCTCTGTGGTCTAGTGGTCAGAGTTTCTGGCTACAGACCCAGAGGTCCTGCTTCGATTCCCGGCGCTAACAGATTTTCTGCGAAGTAGTGTGTCTGGAACGGGGTCCTCTCAGCCTCGTGAGGATAACTGAGGAGTTATTTCAAGGAAATAGCGGCTCCGGTCTATAAAACCGATATTAACGGCCGTTGAGATTCGTTGCGCTGACCACGCGGCATCCTCTATCCGCTAAAATTGGCACTAACTTCGCAGACAAGCGGCGGTCGCTCGATGGGTATAGTTCGCTTGCGGACTAAAACGACGGAGTTTGTTGATTTTGTTTTGTTTGTCTAGACATCTTTGAGGTCGTGTCATCACCACACAGTGATGTAGATTAGAAAATTTACTAGTTTATATTTTCAACATAAGATGGGATCCAAAATCGCTAGACTTGAGAACAAGTTGAGTACAATGGTATTTCCTTTACTACTGTTGCTTATTTACGGTAATACATAACTTCAAAAATGTCCTAGACAAATTTTAGTCTAGTAATAAATGTACTTTAGTTTCAGCAGAGTTCATAGAAGACTACTGTCTGTTATTTGTAATGATCTCATAAAATTATAATATGTACAGTTCACATTAAAATTTTAGTCATCAAAACTGGTTTCATTTTCCAGATGAATTTCAGAATATTTTCATCTCCCCCTTCCCTTCCCGTCATAATAGTACATTTCATTCCAGAGACACTAAAATCCCGTGCTTTACACTACGAGTTATTCGAAACAGTGATTATGAATTATCGGAGAAACCACCATTTAGAACTACGGAGCTAAACGTTCGAAAGCACCATTGCTTACTTCAAATTAAGTCGTTTTACGGCATACCGTAACATTCTAAACTTGTATTCTGGAGGTCCTCTGATCGACTCTCGGCAGACACCGGCTGTTCTGAGGTATTTCGTGGATTTCTTCGGCCCCTCTAAGCAAATATGATAGGACCTCGATTCGGCCACGACCGCTTCCTTCCAAATCCTTTACATTTCACTAATCAACCTACCATTCGAAGCTGTATATAATAATTTAAAGTCCTGTGACCAAACCTGAGGAGACTTTCAGGACATAAGTTTGAGCAGGAAATGTAAACAAATACCTTTCCTGTTAGCCACCTTTTCAGAATATATACTATTCAAGTATGCAAATTTTGAGAATTCGATAACATTGGAACTGACAAAAATTACAAAAGAGAATATTTTCTATAACTTCGAAAATATAAATGTTTTTGAAACCGCCTGAGGATTTTCGAAAATTTAAGAAGGTTGATATTTTTAAAAATTTTCTAGAAAAAAATAGTGGATGCGCTGGTGGATCGTGATTGCGATTCATCTCAGAATTTCCCCTAAACACCTTTAGTCTCAAATTTATGTCATTTAGAAATCCCTCTCACCAATACATCCCTAGTTACAGCAACTATACCGAAACTCAAAGTGGTATAGCCCTCCTGACTTTACTCATAACATTTTCCCAACAAACATCCTACATCCTGTTGTTTTATGTTCATACAGCATATTCTACTAAATGTGTATTTGAAATAAATTCTAATACTCAATCAATACTTCTTACTAATTATCTTTATCTCACCCAGATAAATAATAGCAATATATATAACAGGTGTATATATATATATTATATATAACATAACATCTCAATTTTAAAAGGTAATAAAATTGGATATGATAGAAATATTGGTAATTCTGGAAATGTTTAAAAATTAATTTTCAATTTTTAATCTAGACACTTGGGACTTATTCCAAAACTTCAAAGCACGTCTGGATTAATCATTCATATGAGCAGGCAGTCTGATATGAACTTAACAAAACACTTCTTTACCCAATCTGACCACGCTCTTCCTGAATGCACAGATCACTGAAAATGAGGTCGCTCATTAGTCTCATGCATCAATCTAAACAAACATAACTCTACCTGATTTACTTATTTTTCAATTGGACTGTGCAAGTTTTTCATAAGTTTCAAATGTCAGTAAAATGTTCATTTTTTTTTAAGTTCTTGAAAATGTAAACATTTCAGGAAAAAGAATGAAAATATTTTAATGTGAGATTTACGTAAATATATATAAAAGCCAAGATATACAACCATAAGAAGTTTGGAAATTTCAGTAATTTCATTTGCATACATTAAAGTTACATGAATTGGAAGGAAATGTTTACTTCCATGTGGCCTTGTTCCAATGTAAATTCAGAAAAAATCGTCATCTAATCTGGTGGAGAACTTCAATATGAATAAGGATACCTCTAATGAACTTACTGAGGCCCAGTTTTATATGATCCACTTTCATATTGAGGCTGAACTGTTACAACTGCTAAGTACTGTGTAGCTTTAACATTAAAATAGTTTAAACTATTCTAAAAACTATAAAACTACTAACAGTGAATATTAAGAAAATGTATATAGCCTTTCCCTCTGATACAAACACAAATCACAAGACCTTACATGGCATTGGAGAGTAATGTTAGCAAGAAACAAGAAAAGTCACTTCATCTACCAAGGCTATTTCTGACTTACACAGAAGAATAACATGAAGTACAAGAAGCAGTTGTGTTGCTGTCTTCCTTTGTGTACCTCTCAACAGATCTCAATAGAAAAAAGTGAATGAGTACTGTCTAAATTGTAAATGCAACTTCAAGATTCTCTAACACATCAAGGCTGTTCTATAATCAACCTTAACAGTAAATACAGCATGAAAGACATGTATACAAAGAAAAAAATATACATAAACCACTTACCAACTTCCTTTTTTGCCTCTACCCACCAAGCAGGACAATGGATGTGATGTAACTCCACAGAACTGGATCTGTACAGAAACAATTGCACCACTGTAGAAGCTTAAATCCTTGGCATACTTGAAGAACACTATCTACTGAAATACAAAACCATGTAGTCTTGTACAAGTTTACTGACATTTCTGCAGAACAGACTACCTTCATATTCATGGTCAAAGAGTAAGCCAAGTAAGGTACAACGAGCATCTCTGCTTGTGGCTTACTTTGCAAATTAATATGGTTAAGATTTTGTAGCCTGTTCCTATAAACTGAAGAAGAAAATATGAATGTATGTGTGCACACATGATAACAAAATATGTGTAAAGGTAAAAGGTAAATCTATCCCTGTATACAGGCCATAGCAGCCCATCTGGTTATAAGACATTGAGGCTCCCACATTTTCCAAGATTGCTCACAGATGGCAGATGGCACAGGTTGTCAGTCTTATGTGCCAGCTGCCCTTTAGCCCCAGGAACATTCCTGGTACTCATTTCTGTTAGAGGCTGAGTCGAACCCAGGGCCATAGTGGGGCTGGAACGATTAGGTCAATTGAAGTATCCAATGACCTCATCGTGAATTGAACCTGTGACCCTCCAATTTTTAGCATAGTGTCTCAACCACCTACCACCATAAATATGACTAATATAATGTTCGCAGGTTTACTGACATGGCCAGATTAAGAACTTCAACATCTTCAGCCTTACTCAGGGGTTAATGTAACGTGCTTGCTAACTAATAGTATAATTATAGGAAGAAAAAATATAGAGTACTGTTACAGAACTTCACAGATGCATCAGGCATGTTAAGTTTATTAAATATATATAAGTATTATGTTACCCAGTGGGTACCAGGAGCTCTTCACTGGTGGTTGGGGGGAAGTGGCAGGGGCATGAATCATCACCAGCTAGTGAAGAGGTAAAGAATTGTGGACCTATAAGTTCACCTTCCAATATTCTATTACATAGTGCTTAACTAATTAAGCACTGGGACTTTACCTTCTTTACCTTCATTAGTGTTATGTCATACATCTGTGAACATCAGATCTTTGAAGTTCAAATTTAATTCAATAAATGACTTTGAATATTGGAGTTTATGCTCCTCTTTAGGTTATTATAAACATCAGAGATCTTTACTATTCATTAATTTCAGCATTATACAGATTCAGAGTAATTAATAACAATTTTATTACAAAAAGAAACTTTATACTGTATCCCACTTAAGTAATCAAATTACTAATTAAATTGTAAACAGCACATACCACTACATCAATACAGAGCCAAGACATTATCAAACTCCCAAATTTAATGCAGTGCTTATTCTAGTTCTGAATTTATCACTAGAATATAGGACCTAGCCACAAGACTGCACTGACATCTCCATTTTTGAGAACTGCCAACATTTGCATACTTATATCTTGTATTATTCCCTTGGAAATCTTAGTTGGAGGATTTTTTTTTCATACTTGATTATGAAACAAACTCTAAATAATTACATCAACATTTGCGCATCAATATTGTACTGTAATTCACTTGTTTCAAATATTGCCCTAAAGTGAAATCCTGGCCAATGGCTGACACGCAATATTTACCTAGTTACTTTGCTGTCACATAACCTAACTCCATATAAAATTACGAATTGCAATAGTTGACAAACTGGCAGCTATATACTGATTTTGCATAGACATTTCACTTTCCCCATACAGAAAATTGCTATGACAAACATATATTTTATGAAGATCTAATTGCATACAAAATTTCAGGACCACACAATAAGCAGTGCTTATATTGCACTCATTCTGGAAGTTCTCATGGCCATTATGGGCAAAGGGAGGAAATGACAAAATTGTGAAGGCACAGTGACATGATACATACACAAAGTCTCATCAAAACTGTCAACTGTGGGGTAAAATGGCATACAGAATACCACAGAATATCTTCCCTTATAAAATGAGAGTACCGGCTATATTAGTGACCCCAAATCAAGTTATACAAGTACTGATAGCTTTTACTCTTAAGATAAAAGTGTCACTGACAATGATATTACAAATAATCATAACTGCATATAAATTACATACAATATGCATGGTTTTTTCCATCCATACATAATATTGTAGCACGCTGTAGCCCCTGCTGGGCAACAACTGTGAGATAAGCAAATATACAAGAGGCATTACTGAGTAATGCCTTCACAAACATCTTCCCATGGAAATGACTGACCTGCAACAAAGATGAGCGGCGTTTTCTACACGGTCCATGCTGAGGTGTTTTAAGCTGGACAAGCTGGGCGCTGCAGTTAGTCAGTGGAGAGAAGAAAACTACGGGTTTGCTGTGAGTTGGCCGCCACCCTGCGGGTTAGACAGCTGAAGCAATGAGTCAACTGTAGGACATTCACCAGCCAGTAAGGATGTTATCAGAGGACATTCTTAAAATCAGGTACCTGGAACCAACATCTGAAGACAGAAGATTTTGTGTGTGCTACAAGTTAGTGATCTTTTAGTGTGTGTAAACCAATGAAGCTGTTATAATTACTCAAAATTGTGAGAATTATATATTACAGAAGAAGAGGCATGCCAAAAATATACTTACCTTATGCTGGAGCCATGCTGCTTCTTGTTGGTTAATAAAAATCTGTTTATTGAACTGTAATACATTCTACATATTTTATCTAACACCATCCACTCAGCTGTTCAATTATTAAAAACGTACTCGTATATATTGGAAAAAACTATTGGACATGGAAATATCTGAGGCTAGATTGTGTTTTTCAGTATGGCCATAGTATGTATAGTCAGCAGCAAACACAATTCTCACAATTTCTGTATTCAATTTTCTGTAACTACCTTCCTAGATACATATTTTTACTACAAACAAAATTTCAAATATACAAGATATACATACTTATATTTAATATTTATAAAACACTTTTGCTGTGATAGTAATTCCAATCTTATACAGATATTAGAGTGTAATTTGTAAATATTGGTATAAACATATGCTCTGTTTTATACTGGGACTCAGGGAATGAAATACAGAAAGAAATATGTATGCAAAAAGCGAGAATTCAAAATAGGACACCGAATATTTTCCTAAAACATTCAATCATAAACAAGATTGATCCTCTTAAATAGCAAAATATCATTGCTATATAAAAACATAAGATAAATACTGCAACATTTTCTTTCTTCATTCCACTGAATTCAACATCTTCAAATTATAACTGAAATTCTTACTAACAGTCACATACACATCTATTCTTCTGTATTCAATTTTAAATATATATCCATCAGAAGATTACAATAAATTCTACTCTCTCCATATGAGCAAGAGAGCTGTGTTCATTGGTCGTCCAGGCAACACTAATAACCATAATTGCTACTAGAAGGGCTAGGATTTACTGACTCCTCTATCCAACAAGACAAATATAATTCACTACTCACGGTATACAGATTGCAATAAACACATATCCCACTTCTCTATGCTGAACAAGACAACAAACAGCAGATATTACACATATAAATTCACTGGTTTTTCTTGGTGTGCACACATAAACCATCTTGGAATATAAGAACAATGAACTGTTTTCATAAGCCATCATGCCTAGTATTTGTGTAACAAATAAGAGGCAATATTTTATTTGTAACACAAACAAGCTTAATTATATAATATTACAATCAAATGGAAAACAAAATTATTATATACTTCAAGATGACAAGAAGCAAAAAACAGGCATGAAATTGTGATCACTTATGCAGATAAGTCATAATAAGTCAAATCTATTTTAGATTTAAGGTTGGTGCAGTGATGACTTTGAAGTGTATTATATTCTGGGGTGTGATATCATGTAGTCTGACAGAAGTTTACCAGTTGCTTCGAAGAAACATACTACTTGCGTGGCTTGCTTTTCAGTCCTGAAGATGCAGGCAATATGAGCCTCTGAAACATCTGTGAGCTTCTACCAGATTACATAGTGTCACATCCTAGAAGGCAGTATTTTTCAAATATATTTCTCTTTTTCAGGAGACTGTCTAATTTCAACTTATTTTAGTTGCTTGCTTTGTTATGAGACAGTAACAGAGATCTTGGGTTCTGGGATTCAGAACATGGAAGACGTTTGTGCTAACAAACATGTTGCTCAGTAAGGGCAACTACTGGAGTTTTATGAAAACCAAACCAATATTAAGATCATACAGTTAATGTGATGACCTCTTTTAAAGAAATCATACTTGACAGCTTAAAGAATTTTGGAGTGGTTAGGACATGTGATCAGAATGGAACAAAGGCGGCTAAGAATTTTTTTTAATTACGTCAGAAGAAGAAGAAAGATGTGAATGCCCAGACTGTGACTGGTGGATGATGCAGAGAACAATTTAAAAGAGCTGAAAATGAAGTAATGGAGACAAAAGAATGGACATCTGCCATAGAAGAGGCCAACATTCTTAAAGGACCATAGAACCAAGGAGTAAAACTAGTTGAAGGAACTGTACCACCACTTCTATCCAACTTTTAATAAAACAATAACTAAATAAAAATCAGATGATGAAGCACAAAATTTTAGGTGTCTAGTGCTCCATTAACCCAGCAGCTTCGGCTTACTGGATGGTTTACTGTGACACTTGCAGACCTAGGGCCACCATACAAAACAATCCAAACATCTTGCTCTACCATCACATGTACAATCTCCCAGAAACAGTAACAGTAACATATTTCCTGTACCCCAAAACCTCAAACCCTGTGGGTCAATTGACTTTTGTACACTTAGTAATGGTATACTTCATTACACAATTAATTCACAACAATATTTCAGCTGCATATTTTTATTTCCATTTTGAGATGAAAGAAGCAAGATTTTTTAATATGTAACTAAAAAAATAAACTGTCATTTATAGAGAGAATTACATATGTTTTAATTCCTGTAATAGCTATCCAAGTACATGTAATGACAGTGAAAGATCTGTCATTTGCAACTTTCCATTGGCCTCAAGTTCATTTACTGTAGATATAATCATATTGCTGGAAAGCTGTTCACAATACACAAAATCAAAGTACTTTCCCTTACACAGGTATTCCTCAATTTATGCAACAGATGCGGTAAAAAAGTAATGGAGAGTGAATCACATAAATCAAACATTAGAAAATATTGTGCTGAAGGCTTCATCTCTCCTCAATGAGAGACTGTAGCAATGTGCACAAGAGGTTGTGTGGCTAGCCCAATTTTCCATTCCGGCATTCCTCCTCCACTACAAACACAATACTCCACTCTCCCTTCTCCTCGCCTCTCTAGGACAGCAAGAAATCCACAAAAGTGAAGGTCATTTACTGAAATTGGTGTAAATTAGTTAAGTTCATTAAATGACACCATATTTTTTCAAAATCGCATATAACAAGGAGTACCTGTATTCCATCAAAGTCATATTAAAAAAAATTCACATAAGGTTGTAGACCTTAAATGAGATCTTAACTGTTACATATCAACTTTTTGCATAATGATCTGTTTTTGGTAGACAAGCATGGTTTTAACTTCATCGCCTCTGTTGTCTAGTGGTCAGCGTTCCTGGCTACAGATCCAGAGGTCCAGGTTCGATTCCCGGCTCTACCACATTTTTTCTGAGAAGTGGTGTGTCTGGAACGGGGGTCCACTCAGCCTTGTGAGGGTAACTGAGGAGCTATTTCAAGGAAATAGCAGCTCTGGTCTAGAAAACAGAGATTAACGGCCGTGGGGATTTGTTGCACTGACCACGGGACACCCTCTATCCACAAAAGTTGGCACTAACTTCGCTGACAAGCAGTGGTCGCTCAGTTGGTACAGTTCATTTGCGGACTAAAATCACAGTTTTTTTTTTGTAAGAAATACGTAGTAGTGGACAGGAATGAACAAAAATCAAATATGCCCTACAAATTTCAATGCAGACCCCAATACCGAATTTAATTAGAATTCCATTCTGTAGCTTCAGAGATGAAACATGAGGACAGTCAGGGCTCTGTTCAAAGAATTCAGAACAAAATAAACATATCCACAGGATTACATCAGTTTTGTGTTCTGTCTCCCAAAACAGAACTAAGCTGCTATCTTCTTTCATTGTCTATCATGCATGTGCTAAGACATATTATGAAACAAATTTTCTTGTGGCTGGTTCGATTTTCTGCCATGCCAATTTAAAGCAGAGAGATACCCACAGGAATGAAATATTTCTGCAGGTAACAACTGCAAATGAACGATTTTGAACAGAGTAAAATCTGTTCATTTTATTCCAATTTCATAAATTAATGCATGGTAAATTTATTATAATAAAAATGTAATTCATTACTACTTCTTTAATTCAATTAACACTTCAAATCCACAAGAATATGTCATGCATTATATAGGGATGACATGACTGAACATTCGCCTCCATCCATGGCTCTCCATATAATCAGCACACCACACAGGAGGCAGCAAACAATGCCAAAGACAATAAATGTAGATTTCAAAATTCATGAATTCAAAAATTTCACTGTAATATAAGAAAATTTAACAAGATACAAAAATCGTACCTGGAGCTGACCTCCTAAATGATAACCTCCAAAAATTTCTACATTTTAGTTTCAAAACATGGTAACTTATATCACACTTATTTCTGTTTAATTCATTATTATTACTATAGAGGTAACAACTTGAAAGTAAAAAATAATGATGCAAAACAGCAGAAATCATCATTATAAAAATATACATCTTTTGTGTTTAAATTAATGACTGCTGCTGCTTTAGACAATGCTAATATAAATTAGTGTTTAACACAAAAAATAAGGAATTATAATTAACACTCTTCCATGTTCTTACATTGCTAATAAATCAATTTAACCTCACAGCTGGATGACCACTGTATGTCTTGTTCAGCTGGTTAATAGCAATTTTGAGATGGCTGGGATATGCAGTCATTTAGATTCACATTCTAAGTGGGTTATATGTTTAACAATCTGTTTCAATGGGAACTGTGATAAAATACTGCAAGGAAAGAAAAGTCTGCATTCCCATCCTTAGACTACATCTACTGTACCATTACTCAACAGTATATTACGGATCTTTAGCCTGTAAATCTGTTGCATGTCATCAGATACCATGAATAAAGAAGCTATTATTACACATCTGCAAGTAGGAGCTATATGGTATAGGAAGTTATAGAAATCAAAACATAACCAGACATTTCCAGCACCTCTTCACTGCACTCAAATTATATCAAGTTAAACTCACACATAATTTTTTTAATTCATGCATTTCATGTATTCAAAATGTAGGTAATACAGACATTAATGAACAACAATGGCCATGAAAAATACAAGTTGCCAATATATCTTCGGTTAATATATTTGTACCTTACTTTATGACAAAGAACAAGAGTAAAAGACATCCATTCTAGAAAGGAAAGCATCATAACAGTGGCACAAACCTAAAAAGGTCAAATATGAAATTGCATAGTGTGGATATTATCATACCAACCCACCATAATGTAATACTGCTGCTCTACTGACAAAATGTTATTCACGTCTTTAAATTATTGTCTGTCATCTCCTCATCTTGTGCTAAGTCTTCTATTTAAAACAGTACAAGTCTCAAGAATGTAATTTACTATTTAAGAAAAATTACAATGGAATTGCAAGCAGCATGTGCAATGACAGTTCTGCTGATATGTGGTGATGGCATGCCACAACTGCAGAAAAAAAAAATCTTAACGAAAGAAACAGTGTGCAGTGTATAGGTATGGCATTTAGATTGCTACAGTGAGAATGTTACTTGCTAACAGTATAAAATCTCACACTTAAAGAAACGGTATTCAAATTTAATTTCATATCTACACAATATAAATTCTCCTGAACCTGAGATTCTTGTCATCGCTAAACATATCATCCCAAATAAATTACCATTCATAACCTATAAACAAATTATCACATTTCATCGCAAAATATAATGAATACCAATATGAAAGAATTAATGCGTAAAAGTGTAATTTTAAATTACCTGACTACTATTAATGATAGAAATTTTTCCTTCTTAAATGAGCAAGGAATTACTGCTTCAGAGGTATTACCTAAATAATCCACTGTATGGATAATGGGCGCCATACAAGCTGCACAATACAGAAAATTTCAACAGGGTAGACAAGTATAGTATCTTTTGTGCAAACAGTGAAATGTTGAAAAGGGACATAATTTAACATGTTAACATATTGGCTGGGGAAAACAGCTCCAGAAACATCTACTACAATATTGAAAAATTTGAGCAAATATAAATTACATTAAACTGTGGATCAAAAATTGACCAAAAAATTTGGTACAAGCTTTCCTTCAACAGAAACTATAATACCAAAAGAAATATGTCACACCTCAAATACAGGTACCAATAATGGCAGAAGTAGCCAGGGCTGACAACCAACATTTAAAATCCATATGGAACAGTAGCAGAACTAAATTCTGTCTCAAAAGTGCTTTTTTTTTTGTTTCCTAACAACAAGGAAATAAAAAACTAAGTGGAAAGGGATGAGACTTCAACAGATTCCTATAATGGAAAAAATGCAAGAAGTGAAACTGATGAATCATGTCACCAACAATAGAAACATCACCCTGAACTCAAATCCACTAAATTATACTGTACAATATTCTGTGAGCTACCTGAAAATTTTTCAGCCACTAAAATGAGACACTTCTCAACAACTTAACAAACCAAGAGCCTATATATTACAATATGTCTCCAGTATCACCTGAAGAAATCGCCGACAGCTACAGTGAACAGAGCTTATGCATTAATTGATGGGTGATCAAGCCTCAAGCTCTTGCTATAGTATCAAATACTCAATCAGTTGCATCAAAATATCACATGTGAATAACTTATTGGAATCAACACTCACATACAACACGAATGTGGTTGTGCAACAGAAGAAAGAAGATCCTGAAATATATTTCATGATGTCACAGTCCCTAATAGAAAAATTACTCACACAATCATAAATAAATTATGACAGGGTCATTATGAGACAAAAGTACAACAAAGTCAAAACTTTAAGTGGTCAATGAAGAGAATAAAGAAGTGACTGGTGCTGGATTTGAACATTGTCCTTAGAATTCATTCAGACACCTTGCACAGGAGACCACAAACTCCCACAACACTTCTGCAATTAAAATCATATAAGACAAGAGTCGGCTGGCACATAAAGCATAACCTCATTTCACAGTAGATGTTCAATAATTTAGCTGGGTGACCTCAAAGAGAAACTGTAATGTATATAAATTCATGGTTCCCTCATTCCGCTGAGAGTTAACCCGAGCTAACGAGAAGTATTCACCTCTCCAACCTGAGCAGCATAAATGATTTTCAGGTAACTCTCAAATGATTGCACTGTATAACCAATATATGAACTTCCAGACTCTTTCAATGGTATTTCATAAAATATTAACCTAGACTTTAAGAAACAATGATAAATTTATTTTTACACCTGGCTGGAAGAAGTAGAGCTTCTAAAATACAATATTCTATCTTAGTTTCATGGTTTATACTATTTGACAGGCAATGGTACCTGCAGCATTAATTTTTGCGAATGTAACCTACTAAGCCAAACAGCCTAAAATGTAATTCCTATTTACTAGGGGAGGGGACAATAATGGGGGGGGGGAGAAAAGAGAAAGCAAGGAGAGCTAAAGTAAAACAAAAAATGAAATATTCTTCATTCTGCAATATGCAAATATTGATATGTAAATATATACAACTCATTTATTAATTCTATCTTGTAACTCTGCGGGGGAAGATGAAAAAATATACGTATATAAGGGTAGTGCCTACCTAACGTACTGTTTGCATGCTGCTACCAAATCCTATACAAGTACAGTTTAGCTTTCTAAAGCCACTCTACATACCCTGATGAATCAATGACCTTCAAAAACTTCAATGAACAACATACACATCAAGTTGCAACCTGTTTTCATTTTTCTTTGACTGCAAAGCTAAACCAACCACATTTACAGGGAATCTACACAAAACAAAGGTCAATCTAAGACGTGCATTTTATGTCAAATAAAAAAAGAACAAATATATATATATATACCATACAAGTCTTGTGTTTTAATGATATCTGTGGTGGTGGGGGAGGGGGGGGGAAATGTGTGGATCAGCTTGTTATTACATGGCCTGACTGCCCGACTACTATGGCATGGCATTCTTCACGATGTATACTGCATAAATGTTGAATACAGCTGTCCAGTGAACAAAATTCTTAATATCAGTTCAGAGCGAAGTGTTGCATGCTTTCTTCCTGCAGGAGCAGCATCCCACAAAAAGCAACCAACTTCAGTCAACTGGAAAAACTGTAGTAATTACGAACCACACATCATGAGCAGCCATTATTTATCTGTTTCAATATTAAACACAACTATTAATATCATATATTTATCCCACATGGCGTGTAATGTTTGCAATGACAACATTTCTCGCTATATTATACACCCACATCAATTGGGTATATTGTAATAACCCGAAAAAGATTCGTATTGGCGGAAGGGTGGGGCACAGAAGGGAATGGGGTAAGGAAAGATTACACAATTTACGACAATATGCTTCACTTATTCGCCATCAAAGGGAAGAAGTCTATCACACAGACTAGAACTGATCTGCCAGCAGTTCACATACTTCTTGTGAAACACTTTCTTTGCTTGATCGAACTGTCAGTCTGTACATCTGTAAAAAGAAAGCAAGAAAAGACAATGATCATAAGATCTGTGTAAGACCTGAACTCATTCATGTACTACTCAGTCAAAATTATACAGTTCATTATGTAAACATTCACACTGTACAAAATTTGCCTCTTCTGCCTACATAATACTATATTTTGCCCTTCATTCCCTACACTTGGACTACCCTCCAAGTTAGGCATAATTAAAATGAATTAACAAGGTAAATAAAATGAACTGTGTTTCTCAAAATGCATGTAGATACATGACAATTACACTAATGAAGAAGTCACAACTCAGAGGTTGCCACCCCTCAATATATAAGCCATGCATGGGTATGTCAATACAGTGATCTACTGTGGTTCTAGCTAGTTACATCTGATCAGTTATACTTGTAAGAAAAGTGTTACTTTATTATGTGCATGCATAATAAAAACTTTGTAGAGAAAACACAGTTCTTATAAAATGTTACACTGATACTGTTTAAAAAAAAAAAAAAAACGATACTAAATAAGTTGCTCAATGCAATGGAATAATGGCATTCAGGATGGTAGAATACATTACCTGGGCCTGCTTGTTAGGTTCCAGTCGCAGAAGGCAGCCCACTGCTTGAGTTCGGGTATGGATGATACCAGCACACACAAAATTATCTGGATTTGGATCAATACCATCCAGTAGCTGCATACCAAACCCCAGAAGTTTAGTGCGAACTGTATTAAGGTCCATTGGTTGTGAAGCTTTAAAAATTTTCTGGGATCGCTGCTGATTCCTAGTAAAATAAGATTCAAAATTAAGACATGTGAAAGAAAGGACTAGAACACAAGGGCTTCATACTATCTAAGATGACAAATATCACAAATATTTTTAATAACTGAATGGAGCTGAGTCTTTCTTGAATGATCACAACTGCCTGGCTGGTCAAGAAAATACCCAGCCTTTTATAGAACAAAAAATGCAGTATGTGTTCACATGTGTCCATCACTGATCTCAATCCTATGTCAGACAAATCCAAACTACATTTACATATCTCTAAAGTGGCCTCCGCAGTCTAGGGGTAACGTTCCCACCTCATGACTCAAGGTACTCGGGTTCAAACCCGGCGGAGGTCGTGGAATTTTTTAAGGGCGGAAAAATTCAGGGAACAAGTCCTCCGGGAGGGACTTCAAGCCGTGGGTCTCATGTCGTAGATTTACGGCACGTAAAAGATCCTCATGTCTCTAGGAGACCTCTGAGCAAAATTAGGCAAAAGTTTCCTGCCCAAGTAGTTTCCAATGCCTCCAGTAGATGGGGAAGCATCGGGAACCATTGCCAGCTTTGCTGGCTGAACGGGGCTGATTGTGAGCAGCCAGTACCAGCAGGGTATGGCAACTGGTAGAATATCAAAGGGGGACGTACAATGGACTACTAGTCGTGGTGCATTGGGAAACCCACCCCCTCCAATAATAATAATAATAATAATAATAATAATAATAATATCTCTACTACTCACTGTCAAAAAACTAACCCGTTAAACTATTTTTTTATTGCTAGTGGGGTGGGACTAAGTCCCTTGTACTTCGGCCACTTCTGGCCTATTGTACCAGCCCCAGATGATAGGTGAGGGTGATTGTGGAGCAATTGGTGGAATGAAGATTGACATGGGAAAACGAAGTAATCAGACAAAACCTGCCCCAGTGCCACTTTGTCCACCACAAATCCCACTTGACCAGACCCGGGATCGAACCCGGGCCACCACAGTGGGAAGCCAGCGACTAACAGCTTGAGCTATGGTGCGGTCAACCTGTTAAACTAACTCTTAACAGAAAGAACCTTTTTTTTTTCCTCTAGCTATTAGCTGCAATGAAAAGGACCCTACTTAAATTAAACATATGACCTTCAATTTGTGTTTGTAATGTGTGTAAGGGAATACCTTAGGGACATCCTGAACCATTACACGTCTTAATACATAAGTTAGTTGTAGAAGTCCACCAAGTGTAACTAGTTAATAGGATTAAACAAAAGTTTTACCTTTACATGTTTCAGCCATTAGTAGCTATCATCAGAGGGCAGAATCAACACTGTACAGGAATTATTTTACATATGTTGTTGTTTGGCCATACGATGGTTACTACAGTACCATTACAACGTTGTGTCTACTCCACAAGATTTTTTAAATTATTTAAACTGGTTTTAACCACGTACTCTTGATATTCACACCTCATATTAACTGTATTATTTAATATTAAATTCTATACCTACTACAAGTCCCTTTATGATATCATGGTAAACTATTCTCAAACGACATATGTGAAGTAGTTCCTTTATAGTGTTGACTGCAGCTTCTGATGATGGAGAATAATGGCTGACACATGAAAAGTCATGACTTTTATTCACTACTTACATAGTTACGCTTGGAGTTTTGATTCTTGTTTGCATGGAACAGATATTTAATGAAATTTCCACATGTGAAGATAAGTACTTTTTTTTTTCAAAAACCTAGTTAAGATTTTGATGCACATGGACCAAAAATCATGGAATTTAAAGAGATTTTAAAACCTTTCTTCTTCCCCAGAATTTTGAACTTTCATTTCACACCCGTAAATTGATTACACTACATGTAGTGACAAAAATTATGTAACAAATTTATATATTCAAGTGTAAAATTATAATCCTGTTACATGACATCTGGCCCATGGAGGTATTTTCTGCATACATACTCACCCCCCCAAGTTCTTCCACCGAGCAAAAAATGATTCACCATTCATTTCAGTGGGTTCAAAGAACTTGTTGATTGTAAGAGGCAGCTTGATGGTTAACTTCTGGGGTACATTGTTATATATAAACGTGATGATCATGCTAGGAGCATCTGAAAATAAGATATACATGAGATTTCATGCTCTCACTGCAGTGGGTATGAAGACTGACATCTTGGAAGAACGCATTGCCTCCATCTTCATGGGTGAGGAGTAAGCCAATTAAGAATGTGGTGCTGTTCACTCTGTTGCGTTTTGCTTCCTTGGCTTACTTCCCAAACCTGAAGATGGAGGCAGTATATTCCTCCAAAACACTGTTAAACTTCTGAACTCATGACATGACATCCTAGAAGACAGTAAAACATTAAAAGTTGTCACTGTGTTTAATTAGTTAAACACTATGCTATGAAGACATATGGAGGAGTGGAGGTACAGCTCCAGTTTTTTTACCTCAGCACTAGATGAAGGTGAGTGGTCAGCTTCACATTCCTGCTGCTTTACTACTGGGGAAAGAGCCCCAATTACCCATTGGACAGAAGGCTGGGTGGGTCCCACAGTCAATCTGGACAGTGTAGAGAAGAGAAACATCTTGCAATGCCAGGGATTGAACCTGGGCTGCCCAGCTGGTACCCTGCCACAATAGTGACTGTGCCATTCAAGCTCCTTCACAGAATACAGTACTCTGCACAATCACACTTTTGTATATTCACTGGATTACCACTCAGAATAGTTCTAGTCTGTCTTAACAATGAATGTTATATGTAAAACATCAGTGACTGTCTTTCTAACATACGTTCACTCCAATGGTGAATCACTAATTGTCACTGTTAAATAACTGTATGTTAGTCTCCTGGATTACTCTTTATTTATCAGAATACTGTAAGTGCAGACCTACCTAATGACATACAGAATTTTATTCTACAACATTAGCCACAGGTAGGTACAAGTAACCCAAACTTTCGTGATTCTGACTTGTGTGAATTTTGCCCTCTACACAACTTCATTCTCAAATTCTTTTAACCCTTTGACGTGGTCATTTAAATTCCGCGGCCGCGGCTCCTGCGGTAATATATTCAGCCGGCCATTTAAATTTTGCTCGAAAATTATTTATTCATCATTGTTCTTAAATTCTATGAGATAGGAACATGAAACTTTCACTAAAATGATCTTAAAAGGTGGTTTTATAACCTTACCTTATAATATGAACCCCCTTTATATCTTCAATGGAAGCATGTTATTTAGTATTTGAGCAGAGAATGGTACGCCTTGAAGGATGAAACTTTCACTAAAATGATCTTAAAAGTTGGTTTTATAACCTTGCCTTATAATATGAGCACCCGGTATCTCGGCTATGTAAGCAGGTGACGCCTTGAAGCATTAGTCTAAACACAG